CATAAATAGATCTTTACCTTCACCCTGAGAAGCAAAAGAAGAAAAAAAGCTGAAAAAGCTGAAAATATAACTAGTGAAATGCGATACTTCAGAGGGCTTCGCCGATGTTTTGGAGGATCGATATGTGTGCATATCGAAAGTGCAGTAGGTCCACGTGTTTGACAAAGACGTTTGTGAGCATTTGGCTAAAATGAATACATCTAGCGTAACGTCAAGCAAACGCCCTTATTGTCGTCCCACCCAGGTTTAAAAAAATTAAGTAGAGCATGTTCGACTTGTTCAGTGAAAGTTCTTTAACAGCGCAAGTTGGGGCCAATGAAACTCCTATATATATATATATATATATATATATATATATATATATATATATATATATATATATATATATATATATATATATATATATATATATATATATATATATATATATATATTCAGATGAGCGAAGAAACATTGAATTCTTTTCTGTACTGTGGCAGGGCAGGAGAGTACAAAGGTTAATATCACTGCCTCGGCAGTGCACTTTTTTTTTGGGGGGGGGGGGGGACCACAGCTCAGAGTTTACCACAGCTCAGAGAATGTAATGGCGGCGTCCAGGTAGCCTTCCGGGCATATATGTACACAAGTATGTGTTAGCGTTCCCCAAAAGCACACGGGCCGCAAGCGTTTTAGCGTTTACCGAAAATTTTGAAACCATGACTTTCAGGTCAGTAGTCGCGCGCCGTAACCACTAGACCACCGTGGCAAGTCAACTGGTACGTCGCACTAACTTCCTAGGTTCTACACCCATGAACCACGACACTTACGCAGATAGTAGCCAATGGACTCATCGTCTTCGTCCTCCGATGATGATTCAGTCATCGGGTACGTGGAGCACCCACAAGTCATCCCTGCCGTTTTCCCCGTGAGTCTCTCCGCGAACGTCGACGCAGTGGCGGCCTCCGCCAGTGTCGTATTCCCTGGCCTCGGCCTACCGGAAGGTGTCGGCGACGATGGCGAAGATGCTGACGACGTGAACGCGGCTTCGGCGGTTGAAACGGTCGATGCGGGAGATGTTGGAGACTCGGAAGGCATGAAACCTCCACTCTCGGACAACGACAACTGTCTTGCCGCTGGTCTTGAGGATCTGTCCGTGCCTATCGGGGCTCGCATCAGGGCGACCTCGTCAAGAGGCGGAAACTTGCGCGATCTCTTCATTTTGTTGGGCCCGTACGGCCGTGTTGCCATCGTAACAGTCTTGCACGTCCAAACAGTCGCTCCACCTTGTTCTTATTCACCTCCTCTCTCAATGCGATGACTGTAGATGGCTTCTACTGCTGCTGGCGATGATCTTACTCCTCGGCCACGCACCCTTAATGGAAATTAGTTAGTTGGTTCTTTCCTAAAATGTGTTTAGGAAACGCTATGGTTGGTTGGATCCTAAACGATTGGCTCAACCCACTACGGGGGATCAGAATACATTCGTTAATAATGTTGTTCGCCTGGTCTCTGTGGCTCACACCCGCTATGGCTGATTGGTAGAGAATTTGGTGGTTTCATTTTTTGTACGCAGAGGCATATGTTGTAAGTCGCATATGTTCTACAAAGAACAGTTATTTACAGTTGCGTAACGATGCCAACAGGAACATGGGTATCACCACCAACACCTTAAGCAGTATACTGATACATAGCACTTGTGCATGCAAAGATAGTAGCACAAGCCAGGGCTATACACCTGATTGTCATGCAGATTTCTTGAATTTGATTCATGCTGGGCCCTTGACACTTATTATTTGCATTCGTCGGGTCAACGCTGCCGATGTCAGTTTTCTAAACGCTCTCACATTTAAACTACCAATATCTGCCCTGGCCATTCATCGGTATAGATATAAACTGACAACTGTGGCATATACCCGCATACCACGGGTATGTACAACACGCCGCTGGGGGAAAGTGTTTGACGTCGTACGCGACGGGAATTCTCCCATTATTCGTGTCACCAGCCCGACGACTACCCCGTCCAGCGCATGATCTGAAAAGCCATGCTCATTAGTTCCGACAAATGTATAGCCCGTTCAGCCTTCCAATACTCTCTTTTCTTGTACCTGTGCTGCCCTCTGACGTTTTGGTAGGGTTCAGGATTTCGGTCGGCACAACTGATGTCAACATAAGGAATGCCTCCGACATCAAGACGCGTTTGGAGACACTTCCGTCAGGCGAAGGGCGCCTGCGCCGTGCCATCGCGAAAAAGGCGGATTTAATTACGCAAGAAACGTCTGTAACCATACTGGTTGAGTCGATAAAAACACGAAAGGCAATTTATTGCAGCAGATAAAAGGCAAAACCAGTCTGCATATACGCGAAGGTGCCGTGGCAGGAAAACGTATACATTGCATGAAGACGCGCTCGCACGGGTGTCGCTATATACAGCCGGTCAGGCCGCCGTGGACAGATGCTTTCGCGTACCGGGGCTCGGCCCCGTTTTCATGGCGGCCCTGGCAATAGCTTCCTGTTGGCGCTTGTAGATCAGCGCCTTGATGTCCATCACCAGGCACAAGTCGTCGTAGTATTCGAAGAGGCGCATCATCAATACGCCCTGTAATGAAGGTGCATATAGGTTGTTGAGCGCTGTATTTGCGATTTAGACCATTCGTGCATGCCTTCCATCTGGCACACGTGATCGTGATCGAGGGGGAAAATGCAGCAAGCGCAATGAACGCTACACTAACCTTGAATCCAGACATCAGGCAGTCGATGGTAGAGAAACCAACGTATCGAGATACCTGAAACAAAGCAGTGTTTCGTTAGGTGCTCTAATTGGTGCGTTGTTAAGAGTTCTGGTAGCATACAGTTACCACGTATTCACATGAAATTAGACGGGGTACCTTATATGCATTCGCCCAAGACGACTTGGAGTGGCTATTTACCACGCAGTTTAAATCACGTGAACACCATTTTTTTTAATACTTTTATCACGTGAGAACAGAATGAGCAGTTCATATGCGCCTCGGGATGAGCCGGTGTTCACGTGACTGTAGGCCAAATTACGCAAACGACGTCTTTCTCATTGCGATAGAGATTCAACACTTCAGGCGCATCTTTCGTTGTCATGTTCCGTATGAAATTCAAATCTATCTTAATCACCCCCATACGTCGCATGCTCTGTGTGTGCGCGAAAGGCTATAGGTGGTGGTGGTAGTGGCTAGAAGATGAGAAAAGGCACCTAATTTCTGCAGCCCAGTCGGGAGCATGGCGCAGTGCCTAAAGGGTATAGGTGGTGGTAGTGGTTAGAAGATGAGAAAAGGCACCTAATTTCTGCAGCCCAGTCGGGAGCATGGCGCAGTGCCTAAAGGGTATAGACAGGCATGACTGAAGCTAACGTGAACGGGTGCTGGTTGGAAGAGGGGGACTGCGTCGCTCGGGCAGAAAAAGCAAGGTTTGGTCAAAAAGGCTCGGTAGCGCGCGCTAACTCGACTGAGATCACCAAGTGTCTCATACACTTTTACGTAGTATGCTCTGACCACTTATGTCTTAATGAATCGCGTTGAAGCGATGGAGAGAACGAAAAGCGTTTCGCTCACTGGAGCAGCCGTATTCTCTTATGCCAGCGTTTAGTGGAGTTACGCGATATCATATCCTAAATGAGTTTTGCTGATAATATAACATTCCGATGTGTTGCTATCGCGTTCATTGTTTCTCCCTTGAGGCGAATCTGTTACTATTCTTTTTTTTAATTGTCAATAAATGGCAGCCTATTCTCTGCCTTAGAACTTTAGGACTTATAGGACTTATTTAACCTCCCCGTCCTTCCTCCTTCGTGTTCCTTCTCTTCCTCCTTAGGACTTATATAGCATAGACTCTGCTGGACCAAGCACCGTAGAGTTAAATGATAATCAATTCACATTATTTTCTGCATCCTTCTACTATCTGCACCGCATGGTGTTTCACAAACGGCCTGTATAAGTGGCTGGAACACATTTAGTCATGACTTTGTCACGTGACACGGAAATAGTCTCATTGTCATATCGCTTAGTCAAATTGTGTAAGTGCGACGGAACTAGGACCGAGAAAAAAGACGCACGCACGCATACACATGCACATAAACATGCACTCACGCACGTGTATCTCAGTTCTCGTTCAGCCGCGCTAACAAATCAAATCAAATCAAATCATTTTATTTTCCCAGAAAGAAACAGGTTCTGGAGAGGTTCACTGGCTAAAAGCTGTTTATGGCGAGGCCAGTGAACCCTATACAAGGCAGGTGGGACAATGACAAAGATGTGTATAACAATAAAGACCATAAGCTAACATTACAATACCAAATACGGTGTAATAAAAACATATATATACATTCCTACGAAACATCCTGATACCAGCATAGCACAGAAAATTACATGGACGCGAGCAAAAAGAAAAAAAAACAACGAAAAAACAGAAGGAAAATCCAGCAACCATAACACCATTATTGCCAAAAAATAAAATAATAAAAATAAATAAATAATGAAAATATCATGAAAGATATATACAAATTTGCTCCTTGTGTATGTGCTGCATCATACAATGTACATTACATGTCAGACAAACAAATTTATACAGATAGAATTATATCATATAACCTATACGGTATAGCATGGATGCACACACTGAAAGAAAAATGAAATTGTACTATCGTACAGACAGAACATTTTACAACGTAAAAAAGTTAGCCTATATTTACAAAAAAGGATCGTAGTTCTTTTAATGAGAAACTGTTTACGAAACTGTATGAGAAACTGTTTGAGAAACATTGTAACATATAAGTTTGTATTAATTAACCCATCAGTTTGCTTCAGCCAAGATTAATTCGTGGTTCCTCGATGGTCGCAATTTGAAAATAAAAGAGGACACTATTCTTCAGTTCGCTCTTTTTTTTCTCTCTCTTTTTTGGCTTGCTCAGGTATCGCATTCCACAGCCCCATGGCGAATAAGCGATGCGAAAAAATGGAGGCAATAAAACGAAGATCTAATAAGGTCTGCGGACTTACCGCGTTCGCGCTGTATTCTGGGTTGTCCAAGCGCCCTCTGAGGTAAAGCAACCCTTTAATCTGAGACGAAAAGGTCGAAACTGTTAAAATACAGATACCAACAAATAAAGACGATACAGGCGTTCCTCTCACCACCTATATAGATATAAAACTGAAAACACGCGGCAGTGAATACCACCAAAAGTTGGAAATAGCGGGTAATGCATTGAATAGGCTAAACTTGATTCCTCGTTCTACGGCTTGAAACAAGAGCACTCCGATCTTGCTGCTTGATCGTATTCAATGGTGTATCCCTTTTTAAATGTAACAATACGAGGGTTGTTGTTGTTGTTGTTTTCCTGTGCAAATGGCTCGTACCCAAAGAAGGGGATTGGCCGATTATAATGTAGATTATAGGTATAAGGATTACTAGGGTTGTGCGAATATTCGAAGTGTCGAATACGAATTGATTTTTTAACACTGTAACCACAGCGCACAAAAAAAAACATGTCACGGGTTTCTTTTTTTGTTGCATTTACTAATTGCACTCATTGAATACTCATTGGATATAAATTAAATATAAATTGATAGATAAATAGAACACGATAATTATAAGTTGATAATTATAAATATTGACAATATATATATTGACAATACCTAGATTTTGATAATTATATAAAAATTTGACAGAGACAAAGAAACTTCATAGAAAAGTACTCACTGGATAGAAAATTATGAACTATTTTGCCACGCAACCTACAACTTTCTAATTGAAATTTTTGTCCACCTTCGTTGCCTCGAAAAATGTTTAGTTAAACTCGCCCAGGTGAACAATTAAAGAACACCAGGCAGTCGAATTTTCCTATAAGCCCTCTACTTCAGCGTCTTTCCAGAGTAACGCGGTACTTAAAAGCCCCGACAAGTATAATTAGTGGGTGTATTGCACTGCTTGCAACGTATACGATTTCACTCACCCCGCAGCACTCGATCGGGTCGTAGGGAGTCATGGTGAGCACGAATATCTCCACCTTGCGGCAGAGGCAGGAGAGGATCGTCAGCACGACCGAACCCCCGAGGTACATGGCCATCGAGTCACGCACGTCCTGCAAGCGGGGTGCACGTGTTTCCCTTTTAAAAAAAAATCTACATTCTTCTAAAGAAATTTACATTCGCACACAACCGCTGTTCGCTTATTTGCCCCTTGTTTTGTGTTGGAAACCGAAGGTTTTTTTTTTATTTAGCTTCCTCTACAATGAAAAAGCAGTGCCATAATTATCAGGGGTGTAAAACGTTGCAATACCATTTACGTACACGTGTACCTGTGAGGCAACAACAAAAAAAGTGCTTGTTACTCTTTTTGGTGAGCCCTGTCTTGCCATATATAACTTTGAAGATACAGTGAAAGGGAAACATGTTAGCAACATCAGGATCCTTAGCAGAATGCTAGTATCGTTCCACGCAATTACAACATACACAAATTACAGGCAAGCGATAAAGTTATACAACGAACGACATTTTAACTTATGATGCAGATTCTTTTAAAAAAACGTATGACTTGTACACAGATTCTGAGCACATCAAAGAAAAAAAAATCGAACTTGTACACTACAGTTTGAACAGGTTGTTGGTTTGCATATTGAGCACAATAAGGCACCTAATACTTCTGTACATCTGTTAATAGCATTTCTGGTCAGCATTCAAAACATTAGTTTAACAACATGTCACTAAACGTATCAGTAGTCTAATATAGCTCTCTGTAATGGCGTTATGCGCGTCGTTATGCCCACAAACTTTCATATCTCATCTGCTCATCGTATTTTCTGCCTTCCCCTCGCACGCTTACCTTCTCTTGGAATGTATTTTGGTACTACTAATAACCATGCGTCTTCTCGCTACATGCCCTGCTCACGCCCATTTCTTCACCTTGATTTCGACTAAGACGTTCTAAAATTGGGTTTGCTTACTGATCTACAATCTACACTCTACTTTTTTTTTCCTTTACCCCAATCAGATTAGGTGCGTATAGTACCTTAGGGAGCTCACTTGTTCATGCATAGATCTAGTGACGTCACGCTCACGTTCAATACAAGCGGAAATGGCTAGCAATGCCCAAAACCAGGTTGAAGTAAACAAACTGGCTCTAAGGTAAGATAATTAACAGCAATAATCAAGAAGTAATCGCAATAGTTAAATCTAAAAAGGCTTCAGACACATGCAGTGGACTCGTGCGCCGTGACAAAGAGGGTGCCACCTCCAGGCAGAGCGCACGACTGCTCCGTTCACCTTTCGCCGGTGCTTGGTCATTACATATGAAGGGGCAAACGACCTGGAGGAACTCGTGGCACACGGCGCGTATATCAGCTATAGTAACAAGCGGGAGCTTAATAAAGCGCATCAAAAAGTAGCGCGCATGTTGCACACTTAGTTTGCGAATCTGCCTAATAAAATTCTACTCGTACCAGGGAAACCCTACATGATTACCTCACGCGCTAACGTCATCGACAGTTTGGTAAACGCGGAGCAGTCGGAACTCTACGAACGCGAATCACTAAGGGACCTTGCTACGCACTTCCTCATCTTTCGCAGTAGTGGAGCTAGATTTGGTTGTCTTTTTTTAACACGAAAACACTTTATGCCGAGGTTCACCCCGGCTTCAGTGACGTATCTCCGTCACGGATATGATGTAAAATACAGACAGATTGCAAAGAAAGAAACGAGAAACGAGAAGGCAAGCATCTGTCGCGCGGCATCAAACCATGGCAACCGCTCGATTCGCAGCGCGCGGTGCTAACCACTACGCCACGAAACCTACGTTTTCCGGAGTGTTACCTGCAAGCCATATATATATATATATATATATATATATATATATATATATATATATATATATATATATATATATATATATATATATATATATATATATATATATATATATATATATATATATATATATATATATTGTCGCAGGTTATAAATTACAGGGGGTTTATTTAAAAACTTATTTTAAAACATGGACAGTGGGACTTGTAGAGACGCTCTCAGAGAAGGCCGCTAAGATTGTCGTCTTCTTCACTCTGCTGTGCTGCGCCTCTCGAGCAAATCCGCGTTCTTCGTTGTCGTCGCTATCTCGCCGCTAAATGCAGCTATGCACGCGGCAATATATATATATATATATATATATATATATATATATATATATATATATATATATATATATATATATATATATATATATATATTATAAAAAAAGGCAGCGTGTCCTGAACAGCTCAGTTAGAAGATCGTCTTCTTCAGCCTCGAGAGAAGCTAGAGGCCCACTACCTCGTGCCCACTAAATGCCCCATCATCGTTATCGTCCACATGTAGACACGCGTCAATATATATATATATATATATATATATATATATATATATATATATATATATATATATATATATATATATATATATATATATATATATATATATATATATATATATATATATATATATATATAGAACTTCGGAACTTTAGCGTGTTTTCGTTATCAATGGCGAGTTCGCGTGACGGGCTTGCGTTGGGCTTTAGTGTTGGGTAGAGTGGGGCGCGCTCTGAAGGTCTTCGCCTCCACGAAGCACCGTCTCGACGGAGCGTGGTCTCTCGTGTGCGCGCGCGCTAATCAGACTCGCGATTGGAGGGAGGACGAAGGTCACTTCGCTCGCTGCTGCGGCCGCGTTTACGAAAGAAGCACGCTGCTGACATACGACGTACGCAGGAAGAATTGCGACAGTTGTTCGAGCTTGTCCTGTGTATACTTGTGCGCTTGTTTCATGCGTCTGTCAGACTGTTTGAAGAGTGCTGAGCTGTGAAAGTTGTTAGACCACACTCGTCCTGTGTATGCTAATCTTGAGCGTGCTTTCTGCTTGAAGTGCGTGCTGCATGTTTCGAGCTGCTTGCCATTCCTAACATGACTTTGCAATTTGTTGCTGTTGCTGAAAAAATGCACAATGAATGCTCAACTACCTTTGGGAAGACACGTTTCACTTTCTTGTTATACCGATACCTATCTATATATGGGGACCACCCACGTTTTCTTATTTTATTTTATTTCCAATGCTCACTGCGTCGCACTTCAGCAGTAAGACCATACTAAGCTCTTTCCATCAATTAGTATGTGCGTTTGTTATTTACAAGAGGACAGCAACAATGCATATGCCGATAGGTGTAAGCAGATGTTTTCTCTAACTTGACATTCTTGTGTTGGACCAGATGTTTTATACTTACGCAACAGCACCTAACGAGGACGCACCGGCTTCGAGCTCTTATGGCGCCGTTGACGAATGTCTGAGCAGAGAGGAAGAAACAAGTCATAATCAGGGACATGTAAATGAAACCCGATGTTTATCTACGTGCGCCCATAAAGTGACACAGAACATATTGCCACCTACTTCTAGTAGTGGGTCGTATACCCCCTGGAGTGACGTGACAATATAATGGAACATATTGAGACAATCGACACTTTACGTGAACTTTACATAGACTAAGGTCTTCGTCACAAAATAAAGAAAAAAATTAAGCAGTCCTACTTCTATTGAGGAAATGGGGGCAATCGAAGCTTGGCATGCGCGTGCCTGACCTTTTCTTTCTTCGTTTTTTTCTATTTTTTTCTTTCTTTTTATCGCATTCTGCCATGCTCCCTCCTTACATTTTTCCCCCTTTTCCAAGCCGCAAATCGAACCTCCAATCCCATGCTTATAGCAGCACAACTTACTCAGCAGCTACAAGCAACGACGACGGTCATGAGTTCTACTCCGGGCACGAAAGAAATGTGGCAACGTGTAATCACAAGTCACCTCGTTAAAAAATCATATACTGCCGCATCAGAAGTGACTGATTACCGCCAAGCCCATGATCGAAAGAGCAATCACTGAAAAACAGCCCATACAAATATGCATGTTACAGGTGCACCTTCTATAGTGACGTATTTCTGCGTATACCACTGGTGTATACGCCCGTCGGTGTCGGGTTTGTTGCATACGACACTATACCACCTAAATATGGGAATCATAACAAGCAAAATGTACATATTCAAGCTTTGTTCGTGCTTTTGTTTACCATTTAGTATGCGTATGTAAACAAATCTTTTTGTAACAAATTTTTTGCTTGTCTGTGTATGTTCTCTTTTATTTTGTTGAAATGTTCTGTTCAAATTTTATTGATGTACGCTGTCTGTGAGAATAAATTTTTCTAGACACAGCTTGTCTCGAATAGCCGGCCGTGCTAGACTCTATAGCTTACCATTCACACTCGCAAACTGTCAAGTTGTGGTATAGTGACTGCTTAGTCGACAGGTGATAGAGATCGAAATTGAGCGCTAAATGACAGAGCCGTTTTATTTTTAGCGCGGGTAACGACAACCTAGAAAGCCAAAAAACCTAGAAAAAACTTCGAAGCAACCTATAAAAACAACCTGCGTCATCTATAGCCAAGGGATAAATCTGGTTGCTTTTAGGTTGTCCTTACCTTGAAGCTTTTCGGTTGCTTTTATAGGTTGTTGCTCGCTTTAGCTAGGCGATGCTGATTGTTTCAGCCGTTGATTACCGGCGCAGATCGATTCAAGTTAAACCACAGACTGTCACAGACACGACACAGCTGTCCGAACTTCGGAGACAAAAGCTCGTGCGGAAACCGAACGTTCGCGCCTATCACATATATCTCCGTGCACGTCGCCGTCAGCACAGGCCTATCGCTTCGGGCCTTCTCGCATCCGTCGTTGCCTCTTACGTTCCCTCTATCACCTCGTTTAACGTACTCGGTGTTATCCCAAAACATGGCTTCGCGGTAATGTGTTCAACCAACTGTTAACTTCATTTTCAGAGGACCAGTGGCGAGAAATGGGAGTTACCCCATTTCCGTGGCAGATATCCGTTTATGATGATGCTGAATTGCTGCAGGGTATGCCGCGAAGTGGTGCATCCCCTTTAGGATGGTGATAGTTTTGAGTTATCGACTGACAAGGAACAATTTTATGATAGCTCCGACGTTTAATTACAGTCATGCAAAACTGTGTACGCTACCGCAAGTCCTGCCCACATTTAAAATGAGTGGTTACTGCTTTCATGGAGCAGGACAGTTAATAAATTGTATACACATGAGTGAACGTAAGGGCAGAATATTGTATCACAATCGCTGGCGCTGTCTCGGCAGGCTTCAGCGGACGGCTCGTAAACCCTTTTACGTGTTGCGCTCTCTACGCGAATACAGTGTGAAATCCGCTTCTCTCCTTGGAGCGGCCGCATTGTCGTACACTAGATTTTTGTGCAATTACGCGAGCCTGAATCTAAAACTGCTGGCCGCCAGCTTTACATTGTATAACATTCCAAGTTGTTGCTATCGCAATCATTGCCTCGTCCTTTCGGTGAAATTGTTTTTTTAAAGATGATTGAGTGAATTAATACTCACCATTAGGAGGGCGGTGAGGGCGTTGACATCGGCAAACACGTCCATGATGTTGAGCAGGACTCGAATGGTATAGAAGGTCATGCTGGCTGCAGAGAAAAAGGTATGGCTTCTGTGACAGATGTCGTATCGAAGTAAGTGTCCAGGTTGATTAAAATATTCACGGTGTTTTGCGTGCCGAAACCACGACTTTATTATAAGGCGTGCAAGCGTTTAATACGCCTGATTAATTTTGATTGTCTAACTGGGACTTCTTGATGTTTAACTAATACGAGAAACACAAGTGTTTTCACATTATCCGTTCACACACCATCTTAATTTTTGATATTACAAGATATAGTTTACTTATGGGATCAAGTCAACTTGAACAATTTTAGCGCTTATTAGCTGACAATTCTTCGTGAGTCATTGAAGAAAAGGAGTATATTTAAAATGTTACCGGATAAATGAGCATTTAGTTCAATTACGAACACCCGCTTGTCCGGCCTTGTCTGGACTTTCTTAATAATAACTTTTGAAGTTTTGAGTTCCGGAAACACAATATTATAATGAGGGCATGCCGTGGTAGAAGGCTCCACAAATTTCGACATTCGGTGTCTTTTAATGGGCACTAAAACCTGAGCACACGTTCTTTAGCACTTCGCCTTCATTTAATTTCGACCGCCGGAGCCGGGTCGGCAGCCGAGCTATGCGTAAGCACTGCACCACAGCGGCGGCTTCAAATTGGCTCATATGCATGATGGTGTAGACCTGTACACATGTCTGAGCGCTAAGAATTGCCGCTACAGAACTTCTCGTACATTGTTGATGTCGTGCCTCTTTTGTGTGTTTGCTTGTTTCCAGTACAGTGTTGTGTTTTCTCACTTGCTTTGCATTTATACGTGCTTGAGGTTCCTGCTAAGATGTTTTCAGCACAGTTTTCACATCGCATCAAGTCCTCAAGTAATAAAACTGTTGGCTATATTTTACCTTCGTTACATTACAACCGTTATTTACATTTTTACATATAGTAGTTACACTTGTACATGAAATCTCGTAACACTTACTGACTTCGGAACACTTTCCTTTTGTAAATATGCCTTAATTCCTGCGTGCATACATATTTGCGGAAATAAACTTCATTTTGAGCGCGAATTTCTCTTGTACCCAAAGTGGTTTGTGTTGGTTAGATAGCGTAGTGTCTCGATGTGAACTTCCCTCATGGTAGATATTACCGATCTTCAACGTTTCACGGCCACTTTAACCGGACCATATTAATCTACGTTGCGTCTGTTTCGTCGCATGCTGTCATAATGTTAAATGCGAAACATTTCTTCGCGAACTTCGGTGACTTTGAGCGCATGTATCTATCTATCTATCTATCTATTTGTCTGTCTGTCTGTCTAGCCGCTTACGACCTTTAGCTCTCCTGGCCGTTTGATTGATTGATTGATTTGTAGAGTTTAACGTCCCAAAACCACCATATGATTATGAGAGACGCCATAGTGGAGGGCTCCGGAAATTTTGACCACCTGGGGTTCTTTAACGTGCACCCAAATCTGAGCGCACGGGCCTACAACATTTCCGCCTCCATCAGAAATGCAGCCGCCGCAGCCGGGATTCGAGCCCGTGACCTGCGGGTCAGCAGAGCCGAGTGCCTTAGCCACTAGACCACCGCGGCGGGGCCTCCTGGACGTTTGAATAATGGTATCAATACCAAACTTGGTATAGCGTAACATGACTGTATGACGAACATAACTGACTAGTCATAACTTGAAAATCATGACATGTTTGTCATGAATTACATTTCATGATCTTGCTGCTCTTGTGGTGGTTTCGTTCACATGGCATGTTGCAAAACAGGTATGATATTACATGACTGCATGGCGACCACAAGCGACAGGCTCTAATATGAAAATCAGGACATGTGTGTCATGTAACAACATGACTACATGCACACTCATGATGTGCTCAAAGCTGTTTCGCTAGCTTTGCATATACCAAATTTGGTATGACGGGACGTGAACGAATGACGAATCTAGGTGACTGGTGCAAACATGATAATCATAAAATGCGTGTCATGTAACAACATGACTACATGTCACGCTCATGATGCGCTTGCGGCCATTTCGCTAGCTTCACATGTACGAAATTCGGTATTACGGGACGTGGATGGATGACGAAGGTATGTGACTGGTACAAACATGGTAGTCATGAGATGCGTGTCATGTAAAAACATGACTGCATGCTACGCTCACGATGCGCTCGTGGCCGTTTCGCTAGCTTCACATGTATCAAATACGGTATTACGTGACGCGAACGGATGACATACATAGGTAAATTACACGTCCAAACACGATGATCATAACATGCGTGTCATGTAACAACATGACTACGTTCCACACTGATGTTGCGTTCGTGGCTGATTCGCTAGCTTGACATATCCCAAATTTGGTATTACATCACATGAATGGATGACAAAGGTATGTGGCTTGTGCAAACATAATTGTGAGATGCGTGTCCTGTAAGAACATGACTACATGCCACACTCAAGGTGCCTATACACTTCGACGTGACCCGGTGCGCGTGCTCGCCGGCGTTCGTTTCATTGCGTCACGCCGGCAATGCCACGCCAAGCGCCGATATCCCCCTCGTAGAGATCGCTGGATCTGCCCACTGACCCAACGTTACTAGATACTTTTTTCAGTTTGCAAACTGCGGCGCCGCGAGTGTCACCCTTCCCTGTACCGGTCAAAAAGCCGCAAGCGCGCCCCCTCTCGGCGGTGCCGTCTGACAACGGCACCGACGCTGTCAGCGTTGGCGTGATCTGCATGGTGCCGGGTGTTTTTTAATGTCTTCAACTCAGTCATCGCTTTCCCTGTGAGCTACACAGCTCACAT